AACCGTTAAAAATGGCCAAATTGCATTAGTTAGTTCGATGCATTAATACTCCTTTAGTTTTTACTATTAGTAACTCTAGTGATTGAATAATAAGTAATGTCCTTTTAATTCTACAAATGGTCATGAGAATAACGTTGTTTTATGTTAATGCTGCGCTGAAAGAAGATTGCTTTTATTTTCTTCGTCAATAGAAATAAAATTTATAGTCTTTTCATATGGATGGAATTTATTAAGTTAGCCATTATAATAATGTTTAAAGTTAATGGTAAATGTCGAGTATACGATTAATTATTATTATTATTATTATTTTAATAACAAATTCAAGCTCTCTCTCTCTCTCTCTCTCTCTCTCTCTCTCTCTCTCTATTCACTTTATAAAGAATTTTTACAAATTATCAACAATTTATTCAATTGTATTCGTACCATTGGAAACGAACTTTCGAGAATGTTTTAGTATTCGCTTTAATAAGCCTCCAATGCGCCCAATGTAGAGTAATCCTGTAGACAAAAAAGTGTCCTGTTTATTTACAATAGTAATTTTAGTTTCCTCAAATGAATACATGCCATGAAAAAGCCATAGTTATCGTTATTTTAAATAATTCATAGTTTCGATGATGTTTCTATTGTAGGATAAAGTAATGTTTACAACAGTTCTAGAAACATCGAAATTAGTCATTCGTTTATATCGCACGAAAATGTAGTCTCGTGCGGACGTTTTTTATGATCAACCTCCAAATGAGTTACGAAATCATCTCTATAGTAGTAACGTGATTAGCGTCATGCAGATTTGGAATCTTTTTCGGTACACAGAGTGCGCCCATACGTAATGGGCCATAATGGGCATCATTTAGTCATCGTTCCATTTTCGATTTTGATCATTCGGCAAGATATCCGCGAATAATCGAAATTTCGATCGTAAATAAACCGTATGGAGCTATTAAGGTATTTAATTCCAGGAAGTATTCGGATGGCAATTTCAACTCTTTCAGCCTCCTTCTAAGCTGTGCAATGCTTATTTTTAATTTGTTTGCACTTATCCATTATTTGGAGTTAACAAGTAAACAAAAGAGCGTTTTTATTGCCTAACTTTAATTGTACTGATTTAATTAATTTTTTAAATTTTAATTTAATTTGCCTCTGGAATTTCTCATTCGTATTTCAAATTGTAATAGGCGCGGTATTATTAAGGGAGCTCGAAATTACCATTAATTTTAATTACTTAGAATAATTATCAGCGACTTTATTCGCACAGAAAACATGCACGAAACGATGTTTCGGCCCTCTCTTAATTAAATTATCGTGGCCGTTGACCCAACATTCCTAAATATATTCGTTATATACAAATCTCCTTATTGTTTGAAATATTTTATTCTCATTAATTAAGTCGTCTGCATAATTCAATATGTACTGTTAAATAGTGACATGAGTTATAATTGTAAAAACCGTAATCAGAGATCCATTCGTTTTATTCCTTCCAGCTAATAGTATTTGAATTATTTTGCAATTTGAGTTATACTTGTATGCGTATACATTGTTTTGCTAAATAGTATTTTAGCGTTATTATAGATTAAGCTGAAACAGACGAACTGCAAATTAAAAATTGAAATATTCTTAGAAATATTCATAAATCATGACGATGAATAATCTAATTTTGTATATCCATGATTCTATTGAGACTAAAATATTTTTTTGCCCTTTGCCAATAATTCGTCGATACTCGGTAAAACAATTTTCTTTCGCACTTATTAAGTCTGCTGACGGTAATGTAATAAATATACGTGTTTTATTTTTCTACTCACTAGTAATTTTAATTAATTGCACTCTCGTTTTTACTTCAGTCATTTTGATTTACGAAAGAACAAAGTACATCTCAATAGCTCTTTGATGATTTATTATGATTATCCATATATTTAATTGCACATTATGTATTTATAAGTATAGTTGTGCGAGCTATCAAACAGTTTTAATGAAATGAAAATTTTAGACAATCGTTTTCTTAACTTTCATTCCCCTTTTGTAATGCATTGAAGATTGTAATACGTTAAATCTTCATCTATATTTTACGTTGCTAAATTTTTATTAAAAACCGACAGCTTTGAAAGATAAATTAAACTACTCGTATGAAAGACTTTTGTTTTCAATACATGTCAACGCAAAAATCTTATCGTTGTCAAAGCAAACTTCCTTTCTCAACGCGACGCATCTCAGCCTTTCTCTGAAAATAGCACAGACATGCCGAAATGAAAAAAAAAGAAAAAAAGAAAAAAAAAAAAGAAAGAAAAAAAAAAGAAAGAAATAAGAAGCTTTATAGAGGGACGACATGGTCCATCGAAGACAGCATAAATCTAAATTTTACTCAGCTTATCGCTCAGCGATAATCCAAAGCTCGAGCTCGATATCGTGACAACACAAAGCAAAGTCAAGGAAACTCGGGCTAAGGGTGGAGAACACGATGGGACGGTGACTCGTAGCACCTGGACAGGACGTTCTGTTCGTCTACACCTGCGTCAGCCTCGCCCTTTGATTTAATACTAGACACGTGTGTGCAGTGCAGATGCACTTGGCGCTGACGATTGCATCGATCTTGGCGAGCACGTGCGTGCATTAAATGATCGAGCCGTTGTCGCACCTATTTACGGCTAATGATGAGCACTAATACGCACCTTATTATCCTGCTTATTATCCTCACGGAATCGAAATAAGCGGAGCCTGGAGATCATTGACGATTGGATTTAATTCATCCGACTGGTCTTTCAAATTGATGCAGCCAACGACGATTGTCCAAATTAAATCGACAAAATATTCCTTTAGAGGTAATGTGCTCGCAGTAATAACCATTCGCATCGTCACACGTTCCCTTTGTATTCCTCGTATTGCTATTTTTGTTAATAGCCCGTCGGATTTATACTCGAACTTGTTTCGGATTAAATAATATTGTAAATTAAAGTGACACCGGGCGTGCCTGTATAATGATTAATAAGCGTCCATTTTCATTTTCATACGCTTAAAACAGTTATCAATGCATTTTATTATCAGATAGTAATTGTAACGCAATTGAATTTGCATAATTATATACTAATTTCATACACTTTTATAAAAACCCGTTATCAGATATGACAAATACTTTAAGTGGCATAATATTTAAATATCATTTAGACAATGAAACACGTTGGTTGAATAACATGTGATAAACATCATATTCTAGTTGGTAATTTATAACGATACATTTAATAAGAAAATTTATTATCATTTTTAGTTTTGTAATAATGATATATTAAAGAATTCAATTTGTTGTCTATTTATTATCAAGCTTTTTGTTCTTCTCAACTATGCTCGAAGTAAGCAAATAATTTATGCTAAAAAAGTATGTCGAATTTATATTGACAAATTATTTATAAGAAAATGTAATATAATTATTACTTTACCCTAATTGAAAATATAATTTTGTTTCAATTTTTACGTTCGCTACAAAATTATAAATATGAAGAATATTTTTTCAAATACTTTTAACATAATGGCTTTTTAATAATTAACTACACCTCTATTACACTAATATTGTTAAGCATGTATGAAATTAGTATCATTTATGAATCACGAAAATTATTTAAGATATCTTAAATTATAAACAAATGAAAACATGTTTGCGCTTTAATATTTTAGTCCAATAAGAATAAAAATAAAAAAAAAACAAAAAAAAAACAAAAAAAATTACCGATGGTAATTGGAATAATTGTATATTATTACATCATCGATATTAGTAATGAACTAAATTTAAAATAAAAAATAAAAAATTTATATTATTGAAATTCATAATTCTTTCATTAATATGTAATAATGCGTAATTATTATCGAGGTATGAGTATTTGATGTCAAAAATATACTTATCCGATTATAATTAAAGCAATATTTTTAAATTATTACCCACTCATTGCATAAAATACCAGTGGATATATGTTTAAATAAAATGGCTAGTCAACAATTAATAGTACAATTAACGTCATCTAATTTATCATATCTGGGTTTATCTTTGGCAAAAATTCGTCTCACTGAATTCTTTCCTTATTATTCAACCACATTATAGTACGTTCGTCCGTCTTAAGAATTTATTATTATTATTATTATTATTATTATTATATATATATATATATATATTAATTATTTAAATTTCTTAACTTAAGCATTGGAACAGATTTGCCAATGTTTATTATAAGGGAAAGATGACGTTGCACATACAATTACAATTTGCATAAATTGCAAACAAACGAAATTCATTATTATGCTCAACGGAAGAACTTATGTGTTATTCTTATTGCTGGAATAAGGGAAATAATCATCTTTTAGAAAGTCAATAGATTTAATGGATTTAAATGGTGTTAAATATGGTTAGAAAAGAGTTAGAAAAATAAAAATAAAAAAAAAAATAAAAGACGAATGTCGATCGATAGTGCAGTTGGCTCGAGATTTGGAAATATTTCTTTTGTTGAAGCAATCGTATGTAGGTTGAAGGTTGAAGGATAAACATAAACTGAACAAAGATTTTCGTTTTCATGCATACACGAGCTGCCGAGAGCCAATATGGACTTTCTCCAAAAAGACGTACGAGGCAGCTTCGACTATTATCACTTTCAATTTAACAATAAGACGAATAATTAGCCCGCAAGCATTTGCTATTCGAAATACATTTAATTCTGCTCCCATCACACGTGCACATTAATAACGGCAGATCCAACAATCGCCGGTGAATAAGCAGCTTCATTTGCATGAAGCTTCCATGTAAAAAAATGAAAAGTAAGTAGCGCGCGCACACCCAAGCGCAAGCGAGCAAGGATTACGCGAAGTTGGCGTGTCTTTTTTGGCACGTATAGCGTGCACATGTGTACACGTCTCGACTTCGTGAAGGTTCGACCGGCTGTCGGCGACGCGGCGGAAATGCCCGAGTAGGCCCGAGCGCCGGCCCACCATTACCACCCGCTCGACGCGTCAGCGCTTATTTAAGGGGCAGACGGGCGCCGAGTGCCGCTCATTCTTGCACGAGTCTTTCACGAGTCCGTACGCATCGTGTATTTGGCGTGGCACATACGAATTCCCCTCCCCCCGACCCTCCGCCGACGAGTCACGAGAGATAAACAACAGCGAGAATCGATACGAGTTTGCTTGATTGAGGGTGTAGCGATCGAGGTCCCTGTGGCGGTCCCTTAAAGGAATATAATTTACGCGAGGCATTTTTTTATTCCTTGGTGAGTTTTGTTAGAAGACGAGATAAGTGCGCGACAAAACAGCACACAAGCAGCCACACAACAAGCAGCCACACAATAAACAGCCACACAACAATCACACGATCGCACACGGATTTAAGAGAGAAGCCGAAAGGAGAAAAATGGCGGACAGCGGTATCAAGCGCAACATTCCCATTAAGCTCGGTGACTTCAGCGTTATCGACACCGAATTTTCCAACATCCGCGAGCGATTCGACGCCGAGATGAAGAAAATGGAGGAAGAGATGTCGCGCTTCCGCAGCGAGCTCATGAACCGCGAGAGCAATTTCTTCAAGAGCACCACCAGGTACGCAATTGATTTTACATTTTCTTACGTTTTTCTTATGCTGTCTTATGCCGCTGCGGTCGACTTATCACTCTTCTTCGTCCTCTTCGTCCTATTCTTCGGCTTCTTTGACCTTTCGGCCGAAACATATAATTGTACATTTCCAAGGCGGATACTTTTCCAGCGGATGCTCGCTCTTACGTACGTGCCCTTATGTACAACGACATTTATCTCTCGTGGCCTCTCCTTAATAACACGACCAGTGAGTGCATTCTCAGATTTATAAAGGTAGGAAGGAATTTCATTTCTTTTTCAGTTGTATTTTTTGACGAACTTTTTTGCCAGCGATAATAACTGGTTTGCGAGCATTTACATACATACAAAATTTACGAACGCTTGGGCGATGATGTTTTGGCATATTTTATCGATGCATAATAAACGTGCGCGATATTATCGTTTCATAAAGCCAGTGACATTGATAAATACGTATGCATTTATAATGTTTCATCACTCGACAACTATTTTCTTATTTTAAAAATACAGCACGTACGAAGAAGTGCATTAGAATGATTAATTATACTTTCACGTTAAACAAAACGAAAGGTAAGAGAAAAAGAAAAGGAAAAGAAAGAAAACTTAAGCAAACGAATAAAAAATTAACTACAAAGATATAAGATCAATTTTTTTTTTTTAGAAGACGTTTTAAAATAAAAAAGAAACAACAAAAACATAAAAGAAGAAAAATTGCAAAGATTTGGTCTTGTCGAGGGAAGGCATTTGAATTGCAAAGTAGCGTGGGAGAGATAATTGGATTGCGCAAACTGGACTTATGCGCTAGGATATTGATATTTTTCATATTTGTTACTCAGATAAAAACGAATGAGATCTAAGAGGCTTAAAAACTCTTTTCACTCGAGCTTGTTAAATTTTATTATGATTTATATCTACTAATTTACAATTAAGTGACAAATGTTGGGATACTAAGGCCAGTAATGTTGCAAAAGTTTAATACGAAAATTGCAGATAATTTAACGTATAATTGTATTTCTTTGTTCGTCAAATAGTTTTACAGTTCATCAAATACAGTTAGAAGTATAAGTCTTTAAGAGATTAATCTAATTTTGCAGCCTATTGTTAATGAACTTGAGATAAGAGCCTTTTTTTTTGTTTTGTTTTGTTTTTTATTTTATTTATTTATTTATTTATTTATTTATTTATTTATTATTATTATTATTATTATTATTATCGATACATATTGTAATAATAATGTATAATTATTATACGAAATACTTTATTGTAGGTTAAATTAAGCGGATGTGGCTCACGAATTCTTATAATTCATAATTATTAAAATATAAATCTTAAGATAATAAATTGGTCTGTATTAGGGATATCAAGATTGCGGCGATCAGATATTCGAATGATTTTGCCAATTAAGTCGAGTAATTGAGCTTATCTTATGCGTTGATATTAAAAAGTAAATATAACTATTTATAACAGTTGAAGTACAGCTCCTAAAGAGGCCGAATATTAATATTTGGTGGGAATCGAAATGGCAGGTGGGGTGGGGATGGGGATGGGGTGGAATGATGATTTTTTAAGATACATGAAATACGAAATATGCTGAAAGTTAGATAGAAAAGTTATGGATGAGCCGTGGTAAGGTGTAATCCATCCATCCATCCATACGTAGTCGTCCACGCGAATAAGCACCTGCCGACAGTAAATACCCGTAAGTGCAAATATACACAGGCAAATTACACGGCAACAAGTTCGACTTGTTGTGGTAGTGGCTCTTATCAGTATGCCTAACCGGTAAATTTTTATTATTTCTCATACATCTCTTCATCGGTGTATTGGAGTGTATTTGATGTATTTGATGGCGAACAGCACAATATGTTCTAGTAGATAGTTTCATCGATAAGGTATGACACTTGAAGGTATAATACATGTAGTATATGTTGATAGAAAGTTACGCACACTCAACGTCAAGATATAAGAATACACGACAGCTTATCTTTGGTTACACAATTGTCATTTAGTATGCATATTGTTTCTTTGTATTGTAGTTCACCAATGCCGGAGTATGGCTTAAAAATTATATTTACATAATTTATAATCTAGGTAATTTAATTGTCAAAATATTCGATACTGCGTAACGGCATCGTTTGTATTAATTGGATTATTTTAATTCTCGTGTAGGATTTTTAAGAAACACTCTTTTTAAGCATTAATGACGATTAATTAGTAAATAATTGGCTAGAGTAATATCAAAAAACTTTTGATACTTTTAAATGTTGCTTGTATTCTTGAAAAAATTCCGTTATTTTTATGTTAAAAATTACAGATTGAAGGAAAACATGCAAGGGAAAATAAAATTTTTGCTTTTATCGATTAAAAAAATCATTTGCTTCGAGTGGAATTTCATTATATACGACAGATGGGCATAAATTAAGTTGTAAATTTTTGTAAGTATTTAATTTTTTTTTTCTTTCTTTTTTCGCTCATTAAGCACGGAATAATATATAGTGCCAATAGTCACGTAAGCTCATAGATTTCAACATACGAAAACTTTTATATAATGAATCTATTGTGCAGTTACGTGATAAGACAAGTGATAATACTATTTATCAAGCGTTGTATGTAAATTAAAATTTTTTTGACTTAACAAGTGAAATGATAGGTGGTTCGAATATTCGTGAAGTCGTGGATTTTTCAATACGGAGAATTCTCGTTTTCGTACGCAATTCAGATAAATATAATAGTAAATCCTTTAATACCCCAATAAATTGATTACGACTGTCGTCGGCAAGCAATTATTTTATGAAGTCTCGTATTTATCGTTCAAATAATTTTACAAGATTAATGCAGTGACTTTACGGCTGGTTAAACAAAATTTCGTCAACGGTGCATACAAATCTTTACAACTTTTTTACGTATAAGTCCATAAACGGGGCAGCACGTTATTATTATTTACGCATCGTCGTTTGTATCCGTGACTTACGATCACGTGTCGCTGTAACCTGAAAATGCTAGGACTCATTCCATCCTTACGGACAGCAGAAGCCACGGAAGAAAAAAAAATGTTATCCCTACGCTTAATAAAACTTAATAAAACTGCCGAAGGCAACAAGTCATAATGCGAATGCAACATCGTAAATATGCCGCCTCGGAGTCGCATATATCGAGTATATCGAGTGTAATTCTGCACGAGCAACGGACTCTGCGGGCTCTGCGAGAAAAATGACGCAGTACTCGAAAATGTAAATGACGAAACTGTAGAGCGTAATCGGGCTCGCCGATGGCGTTCCCTAATACAAGTCGGCGTCGCCGACGAGGGAGGAGCTCCGAATGGAACGAGGCAAGTGAGTCACGCGCACTAGGCATCCTGAAGAAAAGAAGAAGCAGAAGAAGAAGAAGAAGAAGAAGAAGAAGAAGAAGAAGAAGAAAAAAAGAAAAAGAGAACCGTGGTGGAGACCTTGGCCTCTTAGTGTTCGGACGGTGGTCGAGGAAGATTGGATTACGAATGCTGCGGGGTAGGACGTATCCTCGAGGTGCGACACGCCTCGCTTGCTCCCTGAACAATGGCTCGGTGTGTTTAGTTGTGGGCTTCCTTCGGTTGTCCCCTTCGGATGAGATATTCGCGGACTCGAGAATTGGGTGGCGTTTTTCAATTATTGACAATCGTTGCGCGTCCTGCATTTGCTAATCATTTCCGTTGTATGTACGGACTACGTAGTTGGTAGTACTCCTTGGGACGCCTCCTGTTCGTGTTTGTGCGTTGCTTATCACATACATTTGGTAAATATGCACAGAGCTGATGTACAATTTCTAATAATAATGCCCTTCAATATCCTATATCGCTTAAAGCGTCACTCTATCCTAGCATTGCGAGACTATATTTACAAGGGCGATACGCGCGCGCGCGCGCGCGCGCACACACACACACACATACACACACACACACACACACACACACAAACACAAACACAAACACAAACACATAATGCGTATACAATTTATTTTCAAAGTACGTTTTAATCGTCAATTGGAGCAAGGGCTTCAAGATCATCGAGTTCGTGACATCGATATACACGATAAATATTTGTCTCTTGCAATTCCTATTACAATTCTCCTCGATATTCGTCCTGCAATGATATCATCCTTTTGTTAAGTTCAGAGGTTCGTTCAATGAAATTAAAAATTATTTAACAAAAGTGTCTTCTTACCAATAGATGGTTTTTGTTGTATGATTACGACAAGTGCTTATTTTAAATAGATCGTGTTTATTTTAAACTAATTTTTTTTATTTACCGTACGTCGATGGGATGAAAATCAATTTGAACAGGATGTGATGAAAAAAAAAAAAAAAAAAAAAATTTCGCTCGTCCATCTAACAACCTTGAACTATCTGCTCGAATTCGCGTGATTAGTCTAGTGTCCATTTCCAAAGTTTTCGTAGAATAAAAATTACAAATTTGGTCAAACTCGTAAATTTCCAGAGGAGAAAGGTCACGCAAAGATAATTCAATAATATGTATTTTCAACATTTGAAAAACCATATCAATTGATTAGCTCATAAAGTTATTTAAAAATTAAAAGTAATTGTATAATTGGCATGTATCATTCATAAGCTATTATAAAAGAAGAAGAAGAAGAAGAAGAAGAAGAAGAAGAAGAATATGAAGAAATAAAACGAACGCGATAAGAGTAATTGATTTGTCTTCCTTACTTAATACATTGAGATATGTATACAATGGTAATTTATCAGTATACCCGCTATCCACTGTAAAATGTCAATAATCAATCAGTAAAGAAACAAAGAAATAATGTTAATTATCTCTAGACTCGTGTGAACAGCAATGATCAATTATTATAACAGTAAATTAATTTCTCCGAGAAGACTTTTAAACTTCAAACAAATGAGTTATAATTATTGTGAGAATTCTTAAAAATTGGGAGTCTTCCAGTGGCATAACCCAGTTTAATTTTTATTATCAATCTGGAGCTCCAACTTGATC